TCGGGTGACGTCTCTCCTCATCTGTCCCAAACTTCATCATCATCATCTCCGCATTCCCTCATGTTCTAAGTTCCTCCAACTCATTCCTCTTCGCCCCGCATTCTTCGATACTGCGATTCCTTTAAGATAATTACAAAACGAAAATGATAATCTCAACGACACATGGGCGACATCAGCGGTTGATGGCCAGCGGGGCTCTTCTGCTGCTGGTTGCAATCATCTTCGCCTGCACTGCCGGGATGGTGGAGGCCCAGCGCGGCCCGCTGCGAGGCACCATCACGCGGCTGGTTCCCGCATCGGCTCCCCTCATGTGCCAGGACTCAATTCGAGCTCTGGGCACCGACCTGCAAGCAAACGCCTCCTACGAAATCGATTGGCGTAAGTCCATCCCATTTTTAATCTAATTTATTTTTTTACATCTCTTCTTTTTCCCTTCATCCTCGCCTGTCCTCTCATAATCTGATAATTCAATCATTCACATCAATCTTAGATGTGTAGCTCTGCTGACTCTTCTATTCTCCTTCTGCTGTGTGGCTTGATGTGTGTGCAGAGACGAGCGTGTTGTTCTGCAAGTGGGTCAACTCGACCGAGCTGGCGTGTCCACAGGCGCCCCTCACCAGCCCGGGCGCTGTGTCCATCGTCATCAAGATCGGACCCAACATCATCAGCCCCGCCAACCTCACCTTCCTCTTCTACCGTACTTCTATCCTCTTCCTTCTTTCCTTCCGTGTGCGTGCGCGTGCGGTGGCGCGTGTTGTGTGCGGTTGGTGCGTGCGTGCGTGCGCTAACGCGCGGCTTCGCACGTGCGTCTTGTAGAGCCGCCGCAGCTGCAGAGCCTGGACCCGCCGTCGGGCAGAGTGGCCGGAGGCTACGACGTGCGCATCTGGGGATACGACTTCTTCCCAAACCCCGAAGACGGTACCCACTTTTCTCCCTCCGCGGCCACTTGCGTGTGCCTCGTGTGTGCGGTGTGTGTCGTGTGCGGTGGTGCGTGTGCGGTGGTGCGTGTGCGTGTGCGTGCGTGTTCTCATTGAGCGACGTGGGACGCAGGTATTCTGTGTAAGTTCGGGAACCAGGTCGTTCCGGCGCTGTTCAGCAATCAGACGCTGCCGGTCCAGAACATCACCAGCCCGTCACCCACCACGTCTCCCGGCAAGTTCGTCGCACACGCCGCCGCCGCCGCTTCCCCCACGCCCCAGCCGAGCAGCTCCTTCATGAACAGCGTCGTCTGCCTCGGCATTCCACGCGCCAAGTCAGAGGTACGCCCACCACCTGCCTGATTCACATTCCTGCTTTTTTTTTGAATGTTTTTTCAGAACAAAAGAAAAAAAACAAATACTGACCGCGAGTTGTGTCGTGTCGTTGTGTGCGTGTGCGATGTGTGCGATGTGTGCGATGTGTGCCGTACACAGGGCAAAGTGCCGGTG